GGTACACACCTGTCTGAGCATTGCCCTCACTCTTTCTTACTCCAGCTCGTGAAGGCTTCTGCCTTGTCCTCAGCACCCTTCTGCGCTCCCTGTTTCCACGACACCGGGATACATTTCCTAGCATTCCAGGCACTGTGAAGGAACCATTCTCTTCCTCCCACCCAGGGACTGAGGAACGGGCCATACGTCAGACCCCAGTAACGTTCTATGAAACAGAATTGAAGTTAGTTTAAAAACTGATTACAGTGGGGCAGTGAGGCTGGTGGGGGCGGGGATGAACAGGTGGAACACAGAACAATTTGTGTGATGCTAATGGCATGGGGGACACAAGCCATTGTACACTGGCCCAATCCCAGAGAATGCAGAAGAGTAAACCCTTGTATAAACCACGGACTTTGTGTGACAATGATGTGTCAGCGTAGGTTGTAGTCAGCACTTTAACAAATGTACCCTCTTGGGGGGGTGGTGTTGATAGCAGGGAGGTTATGCAGGTGGGGGGACAGGGGTGATGGGAAATCTCTGTACCTTCTGCATCTTTTTTAAAAAAAGATTTATTTCAGAGGAGGGGGGAGGGACAGAGGAAGAGAGAGAGAGAATCTCCAGCAGACTCCCCGCTAAGCACGGAGCCCAAAGCAGGGTGTGATCTCATGACCCTGAGATTATGACCTGAGCAGAAATCAAGAGCAGGATGCTTGACCGACTGAGCCCCCCAGACGCCCCAGGTATCTCTGTACCTTCTGATCAAGTTTGCTGTGAACCTTAAACTGTTGTAAAAAACAAAACCCATTGAAAAATTGATTTTACACACACACACACTTCTACTGAGATGTGCTCTGACAAATATGACAATTTAAGAAATCTAACTCTTTATTTAACATCAAAGCTAACATCAAATGTTTATTTAAAAAAATAATGGCACCAGCTTTGAAGAGGGTGACAATCTACAGAGAATTTACAATTGTAGGCTGACGTGGAACTACGTAGTATCTCACAAAATGGAAATTCTGCAAAAGACCTCACAATGAACATTTCTAGTTTCCATTTCAGAACTGTTAACTACTGCCTAAACATATCTTAAACACAGAGCACGTTCTGTTGAAATATTTCTCTTAGGACAAAGACAGGAGACACATTTTAAATAAATTAAAATTGCAACATATAAATTATTCCTAAAACAATTAAGGTACATTACTTTCCAGCTTCTTATAAACAGAGAATTGCACTGACTTTAGAAAATTATAGATTAGATCTGCTTTGTGTCTTCTGGGTTACCAAACTCGTGTTAACTGTACCTTTTAGTTTCCTAACTACTTTTGATGTAAATAGGCCAATATCATTCTTTTCGGTGATTTATCTCTTTAGACCAACTCCTTCCTTAGCAGATGGGCTACACTTTTTGAAACACCTCTCTCCAGATAAAGCTCTGAATTTTAAATAATGCCATTTGCTCTTCGCTGGCTCACTCCTCAAAATTATAGAAATAGGCAAAATAGGTTAATTACACATGTTCATATTAATAAGCATCTTGAAATGCTTTTCCAAACTGATACAACTATACTTAGATTCAACACAAACATGTTCCTCTTTGATGCAAAACATTTTGGTATTTAAAATCCAACCCAAAAGGACACAAATAATTAGGTGCCTGAGGGAATCCAATTCCCGTCACTGTTATCGATCCCATAATTAAACCTGATATGCTGGAGAAATAGCAGGGCAATCAACATACCTAGCAGGGCAATATTTCAATGAAAACAAGAGTGACAAAGCAGAAGGGCTGAGGTCCCATGGATGCTAATTGACAGAAATAACTAACTGCATTATGGGAGAAGGGGCGGGGAGTTTCCGAAAATCTCAGTCTATCAATAGTTCATTGTGATCACAGAAGCAAAACCACTAATGGTACATGCTAGAAACTTGGGACTGATCCTACTCCCCATACAAAACCAGCAATGGAGGACTTTTACTTACTGCTTCACTGCAGTTTGAACTGGGGGGGGGGGGGGGGGGGGGAGATGGGTAGGATGTTTTATTCTGGCTTCATCATACTCAAAACGTAAGCTGCAATAACCAACTTGAAGCCCACAGAAGAGTATTTTTGGGTTTTTGTTTTGTCCCCAGCAAACTATCATTATCTTGGTGATCATGAAAATAGCATGTCACAAAAAAATCCTGTGCTAGAATGCAACATCCAGTTCGCTAAGTGAGCAGGTGCCTGCCCATCTCACAACTGATTTTGTTTTCAGATATATACAAGATGTTTCCTACCAATGAAAGGTGGGGAAAAAGGATTCGTTGACTTAAATATAAATAAACAATTCCAGGATACGTCCTAGCTGGATCACAATTTTTTAATTGAATAAGTTATAAAATTGTATTTAATCCCCTTACACAGGAAAGAAAACACATAATGGGAGGGTTTATTCCTTAAGAAGAGAACAGTAAACTGCAGAGAGTAAAGGTCTCCTTGGAGTGTATCAGCTTATTAAAAAGCTTCATGAACTTTCAACAAGACTCTAAAATAAATATGCCATGTAAGTTGAGCACATCCAAGTGAAAATAAGGTTATTTGACATCTAATGAGAATCACTGGAAATACAAATTCTGTGCAAAGAAGTCATGATCAGGTGGGATGATTTAGACCCTGGAATATTTCAGAACAGAGCCAGTTTCTAGCAGCTTCTGTTAACAGCTCCAGACTGAAGGGGGTGGCGTGTGCTGTTTTCCATTTTCTTCCCTCCTTCTCTCAGTGGGGAGCAGGCCTGGGAAGCGTCAAAGCCAAGGCTGAGTGGAGCATGGTGGCCTGTGGGTTAGATATCTCACTCACTCTCTCTAAACTAAGAGCAGCAGCTACGTCCACCGCAACCCCTGGCATCTCCAAAGTGCCTCAGAAAGATTCACAGACATCGAGAGGCGCCCACCAGGATCCAGCTTGACCCGAGAGAAGTTACATCCAGCCCTCGGCCAAATGGAGCGTGATGCCCACAGGTAAAGGGGAATGCTGGCCATTAAAATATAGAAGCAAAAGGAAGCACACCATTCTTTCTCTTTCTCTTCCCTGGATCTGGAACTCTTTTCTGTCCCCTGGATGTGATGGATCACAGTGTATTTACAGCCAACTTGGCAGAACAAGGGAGAGGCTGACAGCAGAAGGGGACACAGCCACGAGACGGGGGTGGGGCTGGTAGCTCCTTCGTCCCTGAATCCAAAATCCGTACGGGCAAAGATGTCATGTAATGATGCTTACCATTTTAAACAGCTCGAGTCTGGAATTAGATAGTGGGCATAGTTGCATAAGTTTGTGAATTTACTAAGAACACTGAACTGTAAAGTTAAAAAAAGAAGAAGAAAGCTTGAGTTGTCTGAGTCTCACTCACACTGGACTTGTACCAAATGCTTGACTATTCCATTCTCTCAAACCATGGTACACTGTCACATGTTTTCAGGAGGTTTCCCTAAGAGCAGCTGTTCACAAAATATTGCACTTAATTTAAATCCAGGCAATTTGATGTTTTCTGGAAGAAAATGTACACTAACATACATCTTTACGCCTTCAGATAACAGAGCGGATGGTGGGAGGAAGGACCGAACAGCAGTTTCCATTAAAATCTTCTAGCTTCGTCTTCGTTAGGTACAGAGAGAAAAAGATTTAAAGGGAAGTTATCATCTGAGAGAAAAAGATTTAAAGGGAAATATCATCTGGGCTGAAAGTAGTGAGCAGCATCGCCCTCACAGGCAGAAGCTGTTAACCTTTGAAGGCTTTCACCTCAGGGGAAGAAGCGTGGCCTCTCCATTCCTGTGGCACTTCAGTGAGATCCTAAGAGACAATGGACAACCAGACACCAGGTCTAATTCATCAGATTGCGGCTGGTCTTACGGGGTCCTCCAAGGACCCCCTGTCTTCATCCGACTGCCACCCCCTTAGATCACACGCCCTGTCTTCCTCCTGCTTCCAGGGCCCCTACCTCAGGGGACTTTCACCTCACACAGTACAATTCTGCTGTCCTTCTTAAAGAAAAAAAAAAAACACCCCACAACACGAGCATCATTTGTTTTCACATGTGCGGTAAGCTTTACAATCCCTCCCAAGACCGGTGAATAAAGTGAATCACATCCTCACAGGGGGTTTATCACAATTAAGATTTGCTGCAAAGCAAACCTCCAGAGTGGTGCTTATGGGAGCCTACACTCATGTTCGAGCCACAGTTTGACGTGGGATTTGGAAGCATTTCTACGTGCTTGAAAGCGAGGCATCCGAGAGCCACTTAAGATAGAATCGGGCATGCGGCTCCCTGGGTGTAAGAAGGCAAAAGCCTCGCTCATAGATCTTCCTGTCTGACCATTTAAAGTGCAAGAGAACATCTGAGTTAGACTTCTATGGATACACAGGTGTGCTGTCAAATTTCCACGTTATGGCGTGTCCCACACAATGGACCACTGTGGGCAAGGGGAACACACGGGACCTAGTGTCCTCTGTGGACCAGCGGAATGGGTTACACAGGATTTACTGTACTTCCATAGGCCACAAGTGTCCACTGTGGCCAACGCCTGCATTTCGTCCCTTGCCCAAGTCCTGCCACAACCTTGCTGCTTACGGGACTCAGGCAAAATGCCACCACCAGCAACTGTGAAGCTCAATTTTGACGGAAACTTAGAGGAGACAGAGACTTTTAACACCCCGTTTCATGTGAGTCATTAATTATGCCAAACGCTCGATGACCAGAAGTTTATCATGCTGGGCTAGTCAGGTGGGCAGGAAATCTGGTCTGATTAAGGCAGTGAGCAACGTGGGGCGAGCTCTGCCACAGGTCCACGCTCACCGAGTACAGGGGCGGACCTGGCAGCTACCATGGCATGAGGGGACGGAGATGTTTACAATGCACAGCCCAGGCCTGGTCGGCTCGAGTCAGCACAAGTGTTCGCTTTAAAATTTGATAGTATGCACAGAGTTGTCTTTAACACAGAAACATGAAAGAACGTGAAGACAAGAGCCGGTGGCTTCATCTGGGTATTATGATCCTTTCTATGGCACACACGATATGGTCCCAGTTTTTACAGAATATCGCAAGAAGCGTCACAGCGAAGAAGGTGCCAAGGATGTGGAGGCGGCTCTTCATCATGGGCGAGACAAACCTGGCGACGGTAGACACACACACGAGCACAACTGTCATGAAGGCCAGGATCACGTTGATGCACTTCCCCAGGAGGACCTTGGCGTTCACGGCGTCTGTCTGCAGAGCCTGCTGCTCTTGCTGGTGCAGCTCCAGCTTAGAGATGCGTGTCTGGCAGGACTCCAGGGCTTCCTGGGGGCAAGAGGGACAGCAAGAGTCAGACGCCGCTGAGACCAGGGGCAACATGTGAGCGCATGCTTAGACATGCGTGAAAGCCCCCAGCTCAGGATGCTCGAGGCCAAGGCAGCTGCCAACAGCCAAGCGGACAGTGATGATGATGATGATGATGATGATGATGACAAACAAGTAAAACGAGAATCCCAAGCTCATTTATTCTGTTTTCTTGACAGAATGAGCATGCGTATGCAACCATAAAATACCATCAATGGGGGCTTACAGCTAAGTGTGTTGAGTCTATTTGTATTTGAAATGAAGTACGTAAAATATTGGCATCTGTTGGTATCCTTGGGGACAAACGAGAGGAGTGGTGGGGTTCCATTTTGGGACAGTGGACGACCTCCAGCCGCACAGCAGGTGGAATCTCCAACTGCTAGTCCTTATTTCCACTGCTCAGACCGTGTGCAGCCACTTACAGACTCTGGAGGACGAAGGGAGACGCGATGGGGACAGGACAGACGGTGGGCAACTCTGCTCTCATCTGCTCTTTGAATGCTGTTGCTCAGGACACTGTCCAAGGCTACACATTCTCCCTAGTTCTCGTTCTTTCTGACACTTTAATTACTAAGTCACAGCTAACTCCAAGTACCTCTCTGGCCCAGTCGTCTCTTGTGAGATTGACTCACATACCTACATGCCTCCTTGATGTTCCATTTGAGAGAGTGAACGGGAGAGAGAGAGCATGTATGAGTGGGGGGTGGGGGGGAGCGGAGGCAGAGGGAGAAGCAGACTCCCCGCGGAGCAGGGAGCCCGATGCGGGGCTCGAGCCCGGGACCCTGAGATCATGACCTGAGCCGAAGGCAGACGCTTAACCGAGCCACCCAGGCGCCCCTCTCCATCTAAGCTTCTTAAAAGCACCTCAAATGCAGCAGGTGCAAATGTGGCTTCATGTCCTGCACCTTCCCCTGCACCTGCCGTCAGCGCCGTCCCCCTTCTGGTGTTCCTTTCCTCAGAAAACAGCAGCTGACCCGCCCGGGGCCTCCTACCAGACACCGCTCTCCTCTGGTCTGTCACCAGGCCCACCCACGCGCAGCCGGTATCTATCTTCAGGGCCGTTTCTCCCCCTCAGTGCCCCGCCCTCTGCTGCCTCACGTAACGCCGGCCCTCTGCCCCGCTCACCACGCTCTGGCCGTACAGGCTCCTTCAAGTTCGGAAAAGAATCACGTTTGGGGCCTTGGTACTGTGCCTGAAATGTCTGCCTCCCCACTCCCTCCCCTCTTCACCGGTGGATCTCCCTCCCCTTTCAGGTCCCAGCCCCTCCACTGTCCTGTCCTGAGAGCAGCCCTCCCGGCGCCATCAGAGGCGGTGAAGTCTCCCCCAACCGACAGTCCACAGCTGCGGGAGGACAGGGCGGCCATCAGCCAGGTGCAGGCTGCGTGCCAGGAAGGACCCTACGTCTCGGGAGAAACGGACCCAACGAGAGGCAGTACGGTGAGCCCCTCTGAGCTCTCTGGCCTACCGTCGGACTCATTCACCAAGATGTGTTTGCTCCATTACAACACAGCTGTCTTCTCAGGTTTTTAAAGAACCCTAAGAGCTGTGACACTGATTCGCTTTTCTCCTGCTGAATATACTGTGCGTCGAAGATCAGAGTTCTCTGTCACTATAGTAACTTCCATTACATGGGTCAGCAACAGAGAAGGCAAAACTTCCTCAGATCTTCACATCCGAAGCAGTGCTGGCTCTCTAGGATAGGCACGTGCCCCGGAAGCCCTGCATTCTTTTCAACTGCTCGAGCCCAACGTGTCCTCCATTTTAGACATGCCACGGAGAAGGTGACAGACTAGACAGAAGACCAACATTTTGGCAAATTCATCCATCTTTAGTTGGGTACACAAATTACATATATAAATAGGCTGATCTAAGAATTGAATCACCTTAAAACTGCTATTCATTTCTTATCAAAAAAAAATCCAAGAAAATTTAGTGAATTGCAAGGAATTTTCGTTAGAGCCCCCACCAAGAGAGACGCGGCCCCACCATCTTTAGTACTTCCTCGGGTCCAGTATGTCACTTGCGGGAAGGAGGACGGACAACAGACCGAATTACCCTTAAGCCTTTTTTAATTGGGAATTCAAGGGTGATAAAAAACAAAACTCGATTTCTTAACACAGTAAAACCCTGGTGTCCCAGGGGCAACAGGCACCCTCACCCACGCCGGCTCGTGTGCGGCGGAGCTCTGTCTGGGAGAACAAAACAGCTGAGAATGAACGAGGAAGCTGAGCGGGCCCGACCGCCAAGAGCCCCGAGGAACATGGCTTCTCCCCAGTGTAAGAATTCTCTTCTGGCTGCCTATTATCAGGCAAAGATTTAAGGACTTTCTGTGTATTATCCCATCTAATCCTCCTGACAACCTTTCGAGGTGAAGCTCACTACTATTTCCATTTTATACACTGAGGCAAAGGGAAACTGAGGCAGAGGGAGCCAGCTTGTCCAGGGTCACACCGTAAGTGCAGAGCCAGGATTCTCACACTCTCTCTTTTTTTAAGATTTTATTTATTTATTTATCAGAGAGCAAGCGAGAGAGAAACAGCATGAGAGGGGAGAGGGTCAGAGGGAGAAGCAGGCTCCCCGCTGAGCAGGGAGCCCGACGCGGGGCTCGATCCCAGGACTCTGGGATCATGACCTGAGCCGAAGGCAGATCTGTAACCAACTGAGCCACCCAGGTGCCCCAGGGTTCTCACTCTCTTAACAAAGACGACTGTCCAGTCACACGGATGTCCTCCTTGCACTTCTGAGTTAGAGATGAAACCCGAAAAATGTTCAAATGAACTCTTCTGAATCGTGAAGCTCCCTCTGTGACATCCCTCCCTTTATCCTACCCATGCATCCCTAAAGTAGGTTCCCTTAAAAAAGAACAGTATTAACCCAAACTTTCCCCTAAATAAGAAAACCACATATTTAGACATAATCCAGTGGCATCCCAGATATGTTCTAAAAACAGAATGTTCTAATAAAACCGACTGCACTGTTCACCTTGCAACACTTAACATTTAAATGGGTCAAACTCCTTCAACCAGTCCGTGGTGAAGGAGGGTGTCCTAACCCCAAGCAGGGGCAAAATCTCCACCACGCTCCTCAGAGGCCAGTGTCTGCCACCAGCTCGGTCGGACACTCCGGCTCCCAGAACCGTCCAAGTAGATGCTTGGCATTGGCACAGACTCACAGCCCACGACACAGAGTAGAACAGAACGTGGGCAGCTGAGGCTCCAGCTCACACACTGGGGGGGGGGGGATCTCCCTTTATGTTTCAGTGTTCTCCCTCGCAGAGTGGAGAAAATAACCACTGCCTACAAAGGAAAGTTGTAAAAACGGAGCTGAGCGCTACGTGGAGAGTATACGTTTTTGCTTTTTTAAAAAAAAAGATCAATGGGATGTAAATTGCGGCGGTCGCTATGGAAAACAGCATGGCAGTTCCTTAAAAAATTAAAAATAGAACTGCTGTACGATTCAGCAATTCCACTTTTGAGTATATACCCGAAGGAAATGGAATCAGTTCCTAGAAGAGAGATCCCCACCCCCATGTTCACTGCAGCATTACTGACAACAGCGAAGACACGGAAACAACCCAAGAGTCCATCAACAGATGAACAAAGAAATGTGGTATCCGTACACACAACACACCACGGAATATTATGCGGCCACGAGAAAGAAGGCAATCCTGTCGTGTGCGACAACATGGATGGACCTTGAAGGAAGGTGCTGAGTGTGATGAGTCAGTCAGAGGAAGACAAACAGGCTCCGTGATCTCACTTATATGTGGAATCTAACAAAACCAAACTCACAGAAACAGATGGGTGGTTGCCGGGGGCAGGGGGGCCAGGGGAGGGGAAATGGGTGAAAGTAGCAAAAGGTACAAACTTCTAGTTATAAGACAGGTAAGTCCTGAGGATGTAATGTGCAGCATGGTGACTAGTTAACCTTTCTGTCTTATATATTTGACAGCTGCCAGGAGAGTAGGTCTTAAAAGTTCTCATCGCAAGAAAAAAATGAGTTAACCGTGTGAGGTGACGGATGTTAACTAGACGAACTGTGGAGATCACAGTTAGTAATGCAAAGTGAGACGTCAATCATAGCTCAGTAAAACTGGGAGAAAAGAAAGAGACCCTCTGGGAGTAGGAAAAAAAAAGCATTCCAGAAGCCTAGGGTTGTTTCACTACCATGCTACCATCATATTAATACTGAAACATGCCTTCATTTATACTGACGCAAGCCCTTCCTTCCACCCATCCAGATCCTACCATCCCTGCAAGTCCCACTCTCTCTGGACATTCTTTCACATTCCTTACTCAAGGACTGTTGGCAAGATCTTGGTCCAAGTCACTTAACCTCTCTGCCTTAGTCTCCACATCTGAGGAATGGGGAAAATAGTAGGAATTGCTTTAAAGCAATTGTTGTAAGGAGTAGAAGGGGAGGGAAAAGGCATGTAGAGTGTTTTGCTAGCATATGGCACATGGTATGCACTCAAGTCCTTGAAATTCTTACAGCTATCAAATCTACTATTGTGCAGATGAGTAAATAAATAGATTCAAGGCTTGCTCAGGGTTACACAACTGGTAAATGCCAGACCTGAGACTGAAATGCAAGATTTCACCACAGAATGACCGACTGCCCCACTAGTTCCTAGCTTGTTGGCCACTGTGTGTCTGAATCCTGTGGCTTTCACCGTCTGCACCATGTCACTTGGCCCCTGCTCACGTTTTCTTGAGCTGCTTGGCAGCTGACCTAATCCTGACTCCCCCCCACCCCCACTCAAGTAAGCTTCTTGAAGGCAAGGTCTGCCTCATGTTTAGAAAGTTTTAGCAGTTTTGGTGGTGGGGGTGGGGGAGCGGGAGAGGTTACAGGCAACGGTCTTGGGTAGATGATAAATATCTGTTAACCCAAAAAGGTACACAGAGAATAGCCGCTTTACTCAGTGACACTTCTGACATGAGCTAATGGGGCTAATAAGGTGGAAGATGATGGTGCAGAGAAACCATTTTGCTCCCCGTGCCAGAAATCCTTTAGGGCTTAGAGGTAATGCGATTACAGTTTGTTAAATGAGTTAGAGGCTAGGACGAGCCCGTGTGAGCATGTCGTGATGAGAGGAACGGTACCTGGATGTCCCGGGAGCGCTCATAGGCCTGGTAGGCCACCTTCTCCTCGATGCTGGCCAGCCCCTGCTTCAGGCCGGCGGTCTCGTGCTGGTGCAGGTCTGTCAGGTCATGCAGCTGGTCTTCCAGGTGCTCGTACCTTTGCAAAGAGAGGAGCTGATTCTGAGTGTGACACTCCAAATGCCTCCTTGTTCTCAGTCCCTGGAAGACTATGTTTCCAAAAGAAACAGGTCTAGGGGCGCCTGGGTGGCTCAGTCGTTAGGCGTCTGCCTTCGGCTCGGGTCATGATCCTGGGGTCCTGGGATGGAGCCCCGGGCCTGCTTCTCCCTCTCCCTCTGCCTCCGGCCCCCCATGCTGTGCTCTCTCTCTGTCAAATAAATAAATAAAATTAAAAAAAAAAAAAAAAAAGACTACATCTAGCTGTGGGGAACACGCTTTTGGAGAACACTGAATTCCAGCTCTAGGAAGGACCGGTCTTAACTTCTTAACTTCTCTGTCCTCACTCCTGAGGTGACACGCACAGCAAATTCGGCATTTCCACCCACATCGGACAAGCACCTTCACTGGTTACGGTTGATGACAGAACAGACCTGACACGTTCACCAGGGTTGGTCAAGAGACAGGGCTGCCTGGCACCCCAGGGCTCCCCCGCCTCCTGCCTGCACAGAGCCTTCTGGTTCACAAGCACGGCTCTCCACACCAGAGGCCACGAGGAGAGAACCAACTTCTCGACTAGAGCCAATTCCACCATTTCCCAATGTATCCTCTAATTCTGAAAACATGTTTCAGTTCTTGGAACTTAAGTGCCGATGAAAAATTAAGCTCATTACAAATTATAAATAGCTTATCGGTTGGCATTTCCAGAAGTCCAAATCTTAAGTGACAGAAGAACAAAGATTTCCATTCCCACCTCCCATTTTCCTCACAGAAGAGGGACTGGTCTTATTATATTCAAAAACTTATAATGTTTATTTGAAAACAGGAAGCACTATTTGGGGAATGCCTTAGTCCGAAATGACTTCTACCAATGTCAGTGTTAGATGCTTATAGGAGTCACCTGACAGAATCATTAAAGGGCGAGAGAGAGAGGGAAGGAGGGAGGGAGAGAGCTTGAGAGATCATATGTCAATTATACCTCAGGAAAAAAAGACCAAAAAAATTTAATGCAGATTTAATGATTATTCTCAGCTAGGACTTCATAGGTATCCAATGTTGGTGTAAAAGCCTTTTAAAGATCTCTTATAGCAAGCAATACAGTCAGTGGCTAACTCCTGAAGATCACAAACATATCTATATGACAAACAAGAACAAAAACTGTCCTACATTTATGTAAATGGATATTTGTGATGGGATAAAATTTGGATCCAAAGAGTACTGTATGCCAAACTATTCAGATGGAATTAAAGTCAATATTCTCTGGAAAACCTGTGACTCAATAATAGTTATGTGACAAAGAAACCAAAGTCAAAGATGTATGCTGAAAGTTTTAAAAAAACTGTTGAATAAAACATAAGAGCTGGAAAAAAAGCCACATTTCTAAATTAATACCATGTAGGAGATATAAAATGTGTAAGTAAAATTTAAAGTTTAATCTTACAATATGTAATGGGCGTTGAATATTTTTAATCTACATTTTTATAAGTTAACATATTCATTTTGTCCAAAAAAAAGAAATTGACTTTTGGGGGCACCTGGCTGGCTCGGTCAGTGGAATGTACAACTCTTGATCTCAGAGTTGTGGGTTCAAGCCTCACGTTGGTGTAGAGATAACTTAAAAAAGAAATAAAGTCTTAAAAAAAACTTTGGGGAATCTTTATACTGGGGAAATGGTGGAAAATCACTTTTTATTAATATTTTTATTAATAACTTATAAGCACATAGAAGCCAGCCTACAAAATACCTTTTAAAATCAGCTAATATAATTCTCAAGATTTGAATTTACATTCTACTCTTAAGATTTCTTTTGAAGACTCTTCATTTAAGGAGAAAAGTTTAATGTGCAAAATATAGTATATAAAGAAATGTGTACTACATGAAGACTTTAAGACTGATGTAGCAAAGAAAATCGACCTTGTTGAACAACGCAGTGGTTTTTTACTTGACAGTTATGACGGGGAAAATAAAATACAGATCTGTGAATTAGTGTAATGAAACTGCAACACAGAAGTCTACTGAATCAGGAGCTTGGCGTGCACGAGTCATAGACCACACAGTGATATTTTAAAAGACTCACACAACTTTCTCTAAAGTGTCAAACTGTAAGTCACAAGTTATAAAGCTTAGCACCGTGAAGTAGGAAAAAAACTACTGATTCTTAACTTTTTTGATCCATATCCACATTCGTGGAAAATACAACCATCGGCATATCACTTTCAAGAAGGCAATCTGGCGGCAGTAAGTCATGCTTCTGAAAGAACTGCAGGAGAATAAGCTGAAATACCTGTATCTTTCCTCTTGCAGTGTCTGAGAAATAAAACCGTATTCTCTCTTGAACTGCACTTTGAGCGCTTCGATGTCCTCAGCCAGCTGAGCCTGCGTGTCCTTGATCTCCCTCAGTTCCTCCAGGATCACGGTCAGCTTGCCCTGGCTGTCCAGCACGCCGGCTCCGCTGGCCCCGAAGGACTGGTTCCCGTTACTGTCGGCGGAGCCCGACGTGCCGCTTGAACACTCGTCGTCGCTGCCGTACTTGGGTTTGTTCACAATGGTGGCGCTGCCCCCGTAGGCCCGGGGACTCCCCTCGGGCCGAAACTCCTCTAAGGAATTCTTCAAGTGCGCGATGTTGTCGGCGCTGCCGAACTTATTCCGGATCAGGTTGGCGAACTCTCTGGACTTGCTGAAGACAAACACGGGCGGAGTGAGGGACACGCCTGGCATGCCTGACTTCCCGCACTCTGGGCCATGGGGAGCAGTTCGAGACTTCGCAGAGGCATCTCTCAGAGAGTGGAGGTTGTCTTTGCAAATGTCCTTGGAGCTTCTGGAGGCTCCGTTCTGTTCGAGCTCCCTGAGCTTTCTGTGATACTGCTCTAACTTCTTCTGGAGCTGGGCGATGGAGTGAGCGGACTTCTGATTCTTCTTCTCGAAGACCTGTTTGATGCGGCTGGCCTGCTGCTTATCCGCACTGCTGACCAGTTTCAGATACTCCGCAACATTCCCATCGCGGGACGTCTGCTCAATTTTTATCTGCTCTGTCACCTTCAGGATTTTCTGTTTCAGGCTGTCTGCACTGAGTTTGACCTTGTGGAAGTCCAGGATGCCATCTGGTACGTCAAAGTTGAGGTTGGTGTCTGACCCCCCTCGGCGAATGTTCGGGGGCAGGCTTAAGGTATTCATGTCATGACGTTCTACCTGCATGAGACAGGGAAGAAGCACTTTAAGGTTGGAAGTCAAAGGCATAGTTTTTGGGAGAGAATCTGTGCACACACAATAGACATACTTCAGGTCCCAGATTTTTAAACTGCAAGTATTCAGGGGCACCTGGGGGGCTCAGGCGGTTGAATGTCGGACTCTTGGTTTCGCCTTGGGTCATGATCTCAGGGTCATGAGATCGAGCCCCGTGTGGGCTCCGCGATCAGCAGGGAGTCTGCTTGAGATTTTCTCTCCCCCTCCCCACTCATGTGTGCACGCTATCTCTCTCAAGGAAATACATAAATCTTTAAACTGCAAGTATTAATGAGATAAAAACTCCCTACACTATGCTCCCCAGTTGAATAGAGGGCGGTCCAACTCCATCCTGCATCCATGTATACTATCAAACTGTGAGATGCTGGTCTCCCAGGGTGTCTGATGCTTTGTCTGATTAGATGACAACTGCCAGTTGCCAGGGTAGAAAATGCATAATGGCATGAGGTTACCAATCAGTGCTAATTTCCCAAAATGCCCAGGTAACTGGGGTGTCTGCCACACCCCATTCACTGTGAATTGCAGCACTGTGGGAAATGCACCCAATTCAGAACCCAATCATGTAACAGAAGAATGAGAAAATAGTTCCAGCAGGTACATTCATCAACACAAGAAATTATTTTCTTAATGGAATCATTAAACAGATGTGATAGGAGATTAATTTTACTGAGTAATACAACTGTATTTAGATGTGGAAATGAACAACCTCCAACCATGACTGAAGTGATTTAAAAACAAGAACAAGTGGTAATACCAAGTGAAGTGACTTTCTCACTGAAGGGCCACCTGGGGAAGAAGTGCAAAGTATCACTGAGCACCACGGCGAGGAGCTTAACTAGTTTGTGCTCCAAAAGGGAAAGGCAAAGGTAGTCTGAGTACCAGGTACTATGGATGTTTGTATGTGTCATCTTGTTCAATCCTCACTACCATGCCAGGTAGAGACTACGTTAAACCCATGTACATACAAATTGAGATGGCAAGAGGCAGAATTTGAACCCAAGTCACCCTAATTGGATTCTCTTTCTACATCAGGACACCCTACCAAGATGTCCCCAAGGACTAAAGACAAGCTTTTGTAGGGTCTGAATGCAATCTCTAAACAAAGGTTCATAACATGTCAACCAAAGCAACTTACTTGTCAAGTTAACTGCCCTTTGATTAAAATAATGCCTTGACACAGAGTCTCAATATTGAGACCAAACGGGAGACAATATTCGGCACAAGTTATCTTGTGTTTTAGGGAAGAGTAGGCAGAAACAGCAAAACATTAATAAGATACTAACACATCTCCCCCTGCCCAAGTGACCCAGACTTGAATGCATTCATTTCCAACAATGAAGTATTAACACTTTGTCCCACAAAAAATCCTGCCCAGTGCTTTTTCCCAGAAAAAGGAGCCCAGTGGCAGAGTGGGACACAATCCCAGGTTGGTGAGTCAGTCCTCCTACACAACTCACAAAAGTTTGTTAACATTATTTCTTGGCCCCTCTCCTCCAACACACAATTTTGCTACAAATAAGAAACACCGGGTGTTTTTATCTGGCAGAAGAGCATCATGTAGGAAAGGCTGGAAGGCAATAAATACCAAATCACTTGTAAGACTAGAAAAAAAGGATAAAAAAAATTGTGACGTCACCTGGTCAAGATGGAAGGATGGATGTAGGGAATAAAGAAAGTATAGGATCATCATCTTCAAGTCCCAGAGAGATGACCACGGGAGCTCAAGGAAACTAGGTACCTATGGCTCGCTAGTGAACCTAAACAGGAATGGGTTCAAATACAGTAACACAGAATGCACAAAATCTAGAAAATGACTATTTGGGGCAGACAGGGCAATCTGTGGTAACTATACAATGAAGAAGCTACAAAATTTGATTTCAGTGGAGATATTCACTGATCTGATTATGCTATTCTACTTCTCAGAAACTTTCTTCGGCTCCCCAAAGCCTCCCAAATTAAATAATACAACCCGGCCACTATAAGGCCTTGCTTACCTGTGAGGCCTCACCTGGCACCTAATGGATCATCTTAAGTGAACCATACAACCCAAAGTTCCCAGAATGTATGTGAATTATCTATGGATTTTCTCATATGAAGGGTGCCGCCTACCACCCATCCACTTCTGCTCATCAAAATCTCACATATTCTGGAAGATCTTCTTAAAATCCCACTTATGCCATGAAGCTGTTCCTGGTCCATCAGAAAGCTGCCTATTCTTTCTGTGATCTTCCATGTTGCTTTTGCGGCACCACCTGAAGCATCCTTGTATCCCTCGTCCGTGGATTCGACCCCCCACAGAGTACAGGCTCCTTCAGGTGAGAGATGTGTCATACTATACCCAGTCTGTAGTGTTAGCTCTGTCCCTATTCACACGAGGCTGTCAATAATGTTTGAACTCAAATGACATCATTCTTTAGTCTAGGAGAGTCACACTGAAATCACTTAAGATATATTTTAATAGAATCAAGAAAATGACCTTGGACGTTCTGCTCATATGGACCTGATAATTTCAGGCAGAGCTGTTTTCCCAATAGCTGGGTAATCAGTTCTATATCATTTCAAACTGGTTCAACTAAATGGAGATTTTTCTGAGGATCAGTGTGCAACAAGGTAATACAAATACAAATAAAGACTTTTAAACTTTAACTGAGGTATAATTTACACACAGAAAAGAGCACATTTAAGAAGAATAAAGCTCAATGAACTTTCACAAACTGGATATACTGTATAACCAGGACCCAGTAAAACAAAACAAACAAAAATAAAGGGGCGCCTGGGTGGCTGAGTCAGTCAAGCCTCTGGCTCTTGATTTCAGCTCAGGTCGTGATCTCAGGGTTGTGAGATCAAGCCCCGAGTTAGGCTCTGTGCTGGGCATGGAGCCTGCTTAAGATTCTCTCTCTTTCTCTCCCTCAACCCCTCTCCCTCCCTCCCTCTCTAAAAAACAAACAAAAAAACCCAATAAAGCAAAACTGAAGCTCCCCGTACCCCCTTCAATCGTAAGTACCTCACCCCCATCTCCGGGGGTAACCACGAGCCTCACCTCTAATAGCATGCCTTAGTTTTGACGAGTTATCACTCATTCTTTTTGTCTTTTTTGCTCCACTTTGTCCGTGAGAGTTCTAAGACCTTGTTTTTACCCTCTGGAGCTCAAAGATCAGATTAAGTTATTTAAAGAAAAACCACCCAAACCTGCTTGGTACTGAGAAGTCCACCGCGTTGGAAGATGCAGAGGCTTTTACACCTTACCTTCCCAAAGGCAGCAATAAATCACCACCTGTTCCTCCTTTAATCCTCAACCCCACCACAGGTGGCCATCCAGCACCGGAGACCCGATGGGTCAGGACAGCCTCGAACACTCAGGAATGTTTGTGCACAGAGAGTTGCCTGACTTTTGACTCACTTTAAACTTATACCAATGCTTGGCATGTCCTCGAGAGTCCAGGTTGGGAAGTGACAGCATTCAAAGCTCAAATCAATCAATCTTACTGCTCGTCAGCAAATCTCAGTTAAAAATGTTTGATGAGGGTAGAAGGTTGAAACTATTGTTGGGCTGCACCTTTTTATAGCCTTTGATAGCCCTAGCTCTGCAGGGTAATTAAGAGCCAGCTGTACACATCACTACTAGTTGCCCATATGTTCTGTAAACTCGGAGGGAAATTTCCTCTATGAGCTGGGGAGAAGGCTGTGGGCATCCTCCGTCCTCCATTTAATCTGGAGCCGGCCCTGTGGGTACCTGCACGCAGTACAGCCATTTCAGGGCAGGACCCATGGAGGACAAATCTTCCTGGCTGACCGGCGTCAACATGCACATGAACTGTGTGCATCAGGAGATGCACGTTCCAGTTTGGGCACTGACAGCAATTGGTTATGTGTTCTTAGCTAAATCAGGTCACTTCTGTAGGCTTCAATTTCCTCATCTATAAGGAGATCAAGCCAGACCACTCAGAGCTAACACTGCAAAATTCCATGAAATTTAATCCAAGCTATCTTTACTGTGACACGTTATCATGAAATAGTCAAGACCCTGGGCTCTGGAGACAAGAGTGCTTTTGGTTTCGGTCTTGATGCCACTCTTATGAGCTGTGTGACTTTGGAAAAATGACCTCGCCTTTCTGTGTCTCAGTTTCCTCTTCTGTCAAATAGAGATAGTCCTTCTTCAAAGAGTTGTGAGGAATAAAGGAGACAAGGCACATAAAATACTTAAAGAGTTCCTGGCACAGAGGATGATTTCAAAAAAAGGTTTGCTATTGTTGTCATTCTAATCTCGTTTAAAAATGTACCTGTGTGTAAAAATGGAAAGGAAAACAAGCTCCACACAATGGTTATCTTTGCACAGTGGGGTTAAGGGGAGTCATTCTTATTATGTTTCCGTATTTTCCAACTCAAAAAAGATAATAAACACAAATTACCATTTTGGCAGAAGAGATGCTATTTTTAAAAAATGACTGCTAGCTCCTTTAGTACATTTGGAATTACCTGGTTATTCTTAGTGTATGAGAAAGGCAGACCACCAGCATCCTAGTGAAAAGCCATTCCTAATAACATTTTCCTTCCGGCAGCAGAAACATTTCCCCTGTCACCTCAATGTTCTGGAACAAAGGCTACAGAAAAGCCTAAGCCCTGGACTAACATCAAAAACGGACACTGAGTCATCTCTGCAACAATGCAAGCTTCCAACACAGCGTTAAGTGAGCTCACCTTGCTCACCGGGAAGCCAGGCCCAGCTCAGTTGCTGACAGTACAGGGCTGCTCGAGCACTGTGCAGGCTTCCAAAGAGGGCTCTCTCCATGACGTTGCACATTTAACCCCTAGAAGCTCCCGAGGAAAATGAACGAAAGGGAAGGATAGCCCGGGCAGAGGCACACCACGCAAAACCCCACCCAAGAGAACTGGGAAAGGGAAAGCGAAGAACGGGGCGGGGGCGTGGTGGGTGCCTGGAGGGCAGG